TTACGGAAAATCAATTTGTTACGTCTCCGTTTGTTAAGTATATTTAGCTTTCTGTATCATTATGTAAAGTGGAAGAATAGATACATACAACTTATTTTGGATGTCAAATATATTCCATAATGATAAACAGTAAACATGATGTATTTATAAAATGTGAAACAATCGTCTTTTCTTGTAGACCATATCTTTCGTCGTGAGAAGCAACAAAATTTAAATATATTGACAAACACATCACATTAAAGTAGAATATATGCACATTATTTGTGATGTATTTTAGATAAAGTCCTCTTTTTTAACTTGAAGTTTTGTTAATAAATGTTTTAGTTTTTGACAAGTCTGTGATTTTAATTACATACATTGATGATATCATATTAGCTATGGTGATAGGACAGGGGTATTATGAGGGTCAAAAGATCTAATGTATAGCACGATGGAGAAGAGTCAAACTAGATATATATATGTTTTGTTGAATTTCTAAGTAAAAAACTTTCTATGAGCCTATTAGCTCGAATCACTTTGGGAGATGTTCTTTATATTGTTACGTCTCTGGTCGTTTGTTAATTACTCGTAAAAATTCTTTCCGAAGAACTTCAGCAATGTAAGTCCTTTCTCAAGTAAAACTAGTTTATTCTTTCTCAATTCAACTTTGCAATACACTTAATTTCCACAGTCACCTTAACTTAAACACACGCTATAATTTACAACGAACGATTCACGCAGTTTACTTACTACCGCGCTTGACTCAATTGTCCGTTAATATCTTCAATCTCTCTGTTTGCTATATCATTCCGATTAATTGTCTGGTGCACTTATATACAAGAATAGAGGGCGCCTAGCAAATACTGGATTATTCATTACGTGTTACCAGAGTCTCGTGACTTCCGCTGTCGTAATAATATTTTGTATTTGGTGATTCAGTCTATTTGACTAATAACATGCTAGAACAAGTATATATTGCACGTATTATTTCAGTTGGCTGTAGGTCAGTACTTTATAAGCTAAGATGTTTTCATAAATAGTATATTCGTATATCTTTAAGTTTTGTTAATACATGTTTCAGTTAATGTGATACTTGTTAAGTCTATGAGTTTACTTATATATATTAATAATAGTATATTGGGCTATAATGAAACATGTTTTATGTAAGAAAAATATAAATAGAGACTTGCCAGTTTTAAAAGGGGACTGGTTGTTTGGCCACGTGACATCCTCTCTTGCCATTGACCCTTTGTAATTCCTAAATCCAAAGTTTATCAATGCCATTTGAGTTGGATCTTTTAGACAGTATTAGTGTGAGCTAGAAAGCTGTGCAATGTAATCATTGCAGAAATTTTGATTTTGTTCATAAAGAAAGTTCGTTTATAAGCTGTACTATAAAATCACAAAGTTTCATGGATTTTGATTGTTTAGGATGATGTTCTACCAAAAATCATAAAATGGTAAGTGTTGCCATTGTAAATAATTTCTATAGTACTAAAGTGATTCATGAAACAGTGATTCATTCATTTATCATATTTAGGTTATTGACATTCAGATAGAAACGGAAATGATGCCTATACGATATTAGTTTCAGTCAGCTAGAAACAAGTTCTTGACAAAAAATTGGGAAAATATCTACACAAAGATAAGATTATATTTTTCTACCGTAGTAATAGTTAAACATAACTATTTGTATAGATCTTTTATATCTAAACTTTAGCAAAACAAATCAACTTATAAAGCTAAATGTGAAGATATTGTATGTTATTTAGAGTATTAAATAACCATCCTTTTAAGGGCAGATAGATGTTATACAATATATTAATAATAGAAATGATTTAGTGATAAGCATTTTACATATCCAACATCAGGGAATGCAAAAGATATGTCATGGAAATTAGATATAGAAGCTAAAACTATAATCAGTACAATAAATGTGTATTAACTCAACACTTGAAAATACAATTGGCTATACTAACTGTCATAAACGGAACATTAGGTAGGATAAAATCATTTCCGGACAGATAATTGTTAAAGTATGTAGAGTAAATTATTCGCTATGCTATAATATTTGTCTTTGTCAAATAATGAATAAATTAAAATAGAATGTGTGATAAAACTAGCATATGTAACAATGTATCATTAAAACAATAGTTTTACCTGTAACTCTTAAGAACATATATTTATAGCTGGACATTAATGACGTAATCACATATTGAGACTTCTTAAGACACTCTAAGATGAGTTCATGATCCTATTGAACTATATGCTTAGTAATACCATTCACCTATAGAATCTTAATATCACCGTTCGCCTATTCTAACAGACCCTCTGGTATTGAACTATGATATCACCCCTCCCCTAAGACAACCAAGCCTTCTAGTATCACGTCGTGGAACTACATGCTCTCTGGTGAGTAACACTCAAACTATGATGTCCCAGATATTATCTCCTGGCAATTTTCGTCGTCATGTGTCATGGCAACATGAAAACTTCCACTTATGTGGATGTTTCATATCTTATATAGGTAGATTAATATAGTTGTATCACCTTCTTTGCATAAGATCTGCCACTGTGTGGATCTCTTTAGAACTATGGAAGATCCAGATAAAATCATGGAAGGGTGGAGGATGGGAGCTACACAAATAACTTAGGTTGGGCTTAGTATCCTTAAAATATTGGTATTTATTTCCAAAGATCACATTAGGGGCTAGAATGGTAACTTTAAGGACAGTTTTGATGTCTCCATCATTGATATCTTGTATTCTATTATTTCTTGCTTCTTAGTGTTTATATTATATTTGTTTATGTTCCCACATCTGCCTGCGGACAGTGAAAGGTGATAAATATATGGTATTTTGTAGGCTAGAGCACTCACATCGGCTCGTTCCATCTTCTTCTAATCATGTGAGGTCAGCGAGATAGAGGTTTAACTGGATAGACGGAATTTAGTCTTACTTCCGCCGGTACTTCGAACAAACAAAAAACCAGGGCACATTACATAATGACCCATATCATGATTTGTGTCCCTGTACTGGATGTTTGTTTTGTGACTATGTTTTTCTCTCTCTTTCCTTAAGATTACACTAATTATGTTTTATCTAAGGAACAAACAAACAAACAAAAACCAGGGCACATTACATAATGACCCATATTATGATTTGTGTCCCTGTACTGGATGTTTGTTTTGTGACTATGTTTTTCTCTCTTTCCTTAAGATTACACTAATTATGTTTTATCTAAGGAACAAACAAACAAACAAAAACCAGAGCACATTACATAATGACCCATATTATGATTTGTGTCTCTGTACTGGATGTTTGTTTTGTGACTATGTTTTTCTCTCTTTCCTTAAGATTACACTAATTATGTTTTATCTAAGGAACAAACAAACAAACAAAAAACCAGGGCACATTACATAATGACCCATATCATGATTTGTGTCCCTGTACTGGATGTTTGTTTTGTGACTATGTTTTTCTCTCTTTCCTTAAGATTACACTAATTATGTTTTATCTAAGGAACAAACAAACAAACAAAAAACCAGGGCACATTACATAATGACCCATATCATGATTTGTG